TTTTTTTGCCTTGGCCTAACTTCCTACTGCCTCCCCCAACCCAACGTGGAATCCTGCATAGGGCAATTATGGAATTTACAATTGATAATTTTTAAATAATAAAATATGAAAGTCTCATAATTTGAGAAGATAATAGATAAATAAAGATGATAACTTTGTTATTAATCTATCTATTTAAAAATATAAACTTTTTAGATTTTTAAATTAAATCGTAAATTTCTTCTTTTTCTTAAAACGATGATAATATAAAATTTTACAATTTTTCTTACTTTTTTTTTTTGAAGATTTATTAAAGAATGATGATAACATAACAAATGATAATCTTAATTAAAATAGGATAATATTTATGTATTTAAATTAAAAAAGTGAAAATTTACTATTATATACTTCAAGAAAAAATGAAATTTTAGATAATTTCATGTAGTTTACTAACATATTCAGTAGAGGTTAGTTTTTTTTTTTCTAAATTTAAAAATTCAAAAAAATTTAAAAAGGAAAATTTACTATTTAATTTAAAATTTCAAAAATTTTATATCTTTGAATAAAAAAATTGATAAAATCATATTTTTATCTAAATCTTTTATAATCAATTAAGAATTCACAAAAAACCAATATGTTGAAGATGCAAAAAATTTCATTCAATATCAAATAGAATACAAAAAGAGTGGAATTGTGGCAAAGAAATTTTATTTTGTTTGATCTTGAATTAAATTCTTTGCATCTTTAACACACTAGTTTTTCTGTGAATTTTCAATTGATTAGAAAATATTTAGATAAAAATATGACTTTATCAATATTTTATTAAAAAATATTAATTTTTTGAAAATTTAAATTAAATAGTAAATTTTCACTTTTTAAATTTTTTGAATTTTTAAATTTAGAAAAAAAAATAACCCCGGCTAAATATGCCAATAAACTATATATTTCAGTGTCTTACGAGATTATCTAAGATTTCCTTAATTCTTGAAGTATATAATAGTAAATTTTCACTTTTTTAATTTAAATACATGAATATTATCCTATTTTGATTAAGATTGTCAT